AAAAAAAAAAAAAAGAACAGAAACTTTTACTTCTTTTTCCTCTTAATGGCTGCTACAGTACTGGAACAGAGCTAGCCTTCAATCAGAACTTGCTGAAAGAATACATTGTTCTTGACACAATGTTTTACTGAAATAAGAATAGACCTCTCCTATCACTTACATATTAATATTTATTTTGGAAAAAGTGGTAAGGTTATAATATTTTAAGGCAAAGAAATACAGAATCATTTATAATCCTTAGTACCATCTAGTAGTTTTCCCCCCTCCAAATCTAGTTACTTGGACTAGAGTGTAGTGACATCATCATAGCCCACTGCAACCTCAAATTCCTGGGCTCAAGTAATCCTTCTGCCTCAGCCTCCTGAGTAGCTGGGACTATAGACATGCACTACCAGGCCAGGCTAATTTTTTTCTATTTTCAGTAGAGCTGGGGTCTCACTGTTGTTCCAACTTATCTGGAACTCCTGACCTCAGGCAATCCTCCCAACTCAGCCTCCCAGGGTGCCGGGATTACTGGCATGAGCCACTGGGCCCAGCTCAAATCTTCATTTTAAATGATGTCCCAAACACTTGCCTTATTAAAGCCAAGCACACATTTCTCTTTACTCCCTCATTTGTCAGAGCTGGACTATCCATCTTTATCCTTCAATCTTCCTCATCTTGTCTCCCAGCTCCCTACCTTCTTCTGTTAAGAATCTGTAGAAATTCCAACTCAGGCAGGATGACATGACACAGTTATTTCTTTTTCTCATATCCTAAGGAACTAAGTCTACACATTTGTTTTTGTTGTTTATTTTTGTGAGTGTTTCAAAAACTAAAGTTTATTAATTTATTTGTATATTATTTACATATATGTATGTGTGTGTGTGTATATATATATATATATATACCAACACATATGGTATATGTAAAGTTCATCTTGCTGTCTTAGAATTTAAGAACCTAAGGAGAGACTATGTATTAAGCAACCATAAATCCAATAAATTCATCTGCTACCAGTATAAATATGGTCATATCAGACAGAGGCTGTAAGAGATACCATGGGAAAACAGGTCTTTGCAGAGTGACCTCATAAGGAATAAATGATATTGTTCTTGACTCTACCTCTAATAACATTATGTTTTCTTCTGCTTTATATCTTTTCCTATGGGTCTGTTTCTACATCTTTTCCAAATTATCCTTGACTTTTCAACTTTATTCTTCCATGTCTGTTTGACTTAAACCTAATATATGAAATCTATGAGCAGGTGGACAGTAAAGCTCACAGCAACTTTGGGCAGACATAGTACTAGTCTTTCCAAAAAGGGCAAAAGGCAAAGT